ACCATTGTGTTCTTTTTATGGTTGGCTTCATTTTCCATATTCATGATAGGTTGATCCTGATATAGCAAAAACAAAAAAACGAATATATATGTCAATGATTTTTATAATAAACATTATAAGACAGATTCAAATGATGCTGTTGGTGAAATTTTGATGAGATTATAAAGTTCATCTGTCTGGAAAAGGGTTTTTGAATTTTCTTGGATAAAATTTCTTTGACATGTTTAAACTCTATTCTTCATCGTAATTTTATGTCTATTCTTATTCTATAACATTTCTCGTGCCAACATTTTTGCTTATAACATGTAGTGTAAAAGTCTTTGTACAAATGTCAAACTATGTTAGACCTTATGGTCAATTTCTAAACGAATCCGTCCCTTTTTATTGGAAAGAACCAAGCACCTCTTAAAAAGTTCTTGCAACTTCACCTTCGTGTTATATCATTTTTCTTATATCAAAACCAAAGTTTGTTTTTTTTTTCAGAAAAATATAACTATTTCTGGATGACCCTCTATAATTTGGTCTCTTTGACTACCTAACTGTTTTGTAATAAAAAAAGAAGTTTTTGGAATTCTTTTTTCTAATAAGTTTCTACGATTTAACATATTTCGAACAAATTACACACAAAGATTATAGTTCATACGTAGTTTTTGAAGACTGTGATTGATCTCCTCTCAAATTGATAGGTTTTTTTGCAAAAGACTCTATTTTGTAAAAACTTCAATTTCCTATTTTGTTATTCAAGGATTAAGCGCTAATTTTTAAAAAATTTAGCAAAGCTGATATCGATAGAATATTTGATGTGCTACAATTTGGTGTATTTTTTTGTTACAATTCGATCGATGCAGCTGAAGATAATTGAGAAATAGAAATTTTTCAAGTTTTAAAAACTTTGCAAGCACCTTTTTAAGAAGTGTTTGGTTTTGAACTCGGACTTCTTAGCTTCGTGCTGGAAAGGCAAGTCTGGTAAAGAACTTTTAGTTTAAACCTTGCTCTTTTCGACAAGAAAAAAAAAATGATTGGTTTAGAAGTTGACCATATGGTCTAACGTAGTTTGACATTTACGCAAAGGTTTTCGAGTGTGAGTGTGGAGTGTGGGTGTCAGTAGAACTATACCCACACCCATTTTATTAGAAAATACCGTAAAACAAGTTTTCGAATAAAGGATGAATCATAATTCAACATCAATCAATGATTGGAACAATTAAGCATTAAGGATGCTGGATAATAAAAATAATGTGCCACGAAATAAACTTTATTTTTATTTTTAATATATTATTTTAATAAATAGTTCTGTAAAGTCTAACAGAACTGAAATATATACACAGATTGTTGAAAAGAGCTCGCCATTTGATGATGTAAAGCGATAGACTATTATACAAGAGAACAAGACCTCGTAAATGTGAGATAAGAGAGACAAATACATTACTTATGATACAAAATGAAATAAAAAAAAACTCATGCCATGAGAAAACTCAACTGGTTCCATATCACATCATGAGATACTTTGTTCAAAGAAAAGGTTTTTTACTGTTGAACTGATTTCATAACGTTCGTTTCTAGTCATTTTTCTTTTTATTTCTCTTTAAAATGGACCAATAAGACAGTTAATTATTACATCAATAAGATAAACGTCACTATTTCTTGTAAATCAAATTCACAAATAATTCTATTCTAAAACTTGACTTGAAAGAGGATAACAATTCTGAACAGTTTTATTATTATCAGAAGTTTTAATCGACATAAGTAAGTGTTGTGATTTGAAAGTATTAAAAAGGTTAACGTCGATTTAAGTCCTAAAAAATCAAGAAAATCATTTCTATCTTAAATTATTAAGTTTTCAAGTCCAAAAGTTTTGCAAAAGGATCACAAGTTTTTTCACGAAACAAAATACAACAAATAAGTAATATTGCAGGTCACTTCATGCGGATTTGGTATCACACACATTATGCTCATGCAGCCTGCTTTTTGTGAAGTGACATGCATATGAAGTATACCATGACATTTTCACGGTATAGTACAAGTATCAGGTGAAAACAATTACGATATAGGTTCTAAGGTAATCCTTTAGCTGGTGCTTCACATTGACAGAAGGCAGTGTAATTAGCAGTGAGGATGACGGTGAAGTCGAATGCCTGCTAAAGGAATACTGACAGTCAATAGATAATGAAGAAACAGAAAATCGATATTTTGCAGATCATCTATATAAAAATCGAAACAATAAGTCGTAAAATATTTTCGTAGATATTTATTTTCATATTGATCTACCGCTCTTCTTTTCTAATTATTTAAGTTAATGTTTCGTTATTCGTTATTATCATTTTCAGTATGGTTATGTTTTGTTATTATCAATTCTTTTGTGATTATCAAAGTTGCTTTTCTTTTAACAAACTATAGCTTTCTCAATAACTGTCTCTGTCTTGTCTTAATAATAAAAAAAGTTTTACATATCTTTTGTGGTGTAGTAATTTTATAATTTTTGTATTTCTAGCATGAATAAATCTGACGTCTTGCCTGCGAATAAAACTATATTTAACGTATCAAACACGTTATTTTATCACGATCAATACGCGACTATTTTTTCAATATTCTTCTTTGGTTGTGTTCTTAATTTAATGAATAGAACTTTATTTGTTCTAAGTTAGTTAATATTATAGAAAAATAGGTGACATTGGTATTATTTTTCGTAATTTGTAATTCTTTTATGTATAGATTTTTTCTTATGTCTTTTATGAGAATTGAACGGTTAAAGTTCGATCAAAATTGTAACTTGCATATCTCAATGGTTTTTTATAAATCTGATTTCTCTCGTTCACTGTATTCTATGGTCTATGTTGCCTATAACTTCTGTGAATTTTACAATTGTACAGTATTCTAGTAAATCTAGATAGTATAAATGATGAGAATCAGCTATTTTTAAAACGATAACCAAATTCATATAGACTAATTCGAATAGAATAACGGCATATGATCACGCCTTTTACTATTATTGTGCACAAGGTTCATGTAGTGGACGTTATGCGCTATGCTCCACGCTTGAATGTACGATCTCGTCTGAGATAAGAAAAGAAAGTGTTTCTATTAAAGAAAAACACATCAACAACTAAAATGGGATTGAACTTTTTGACGAATCTTCGTGCAAAAAATCTTGAGTAGATACGTAATCACGGAAAAGTATGCTATTACCATAATAAAAAAAACAAAAATTTTCTTGATATTGAATATAGTGCAATTGAATGTGTTATCTCATGGGAAGCCCAACATGAATAGCTGCTTTGAATCAGTTAGAGTGATGATTGAAAAAGTCTTTTTCTTGGTTAATTCCATGAGATATACAATAAATACATGGAAAAGTTTGTATTAGTAGGATAGATTTACTATAGTAAGCTGAATATTCTTTATCAATCACTTGATCTACATTATGCATATAACATCAGCAATGATGGTTGTAACAACAGAACCAATTAGTTCATGTATATAATGCTGTGAATTTTTTATTTTTATTTTTTTCATTTTTTCCAAAAATGTCTTTCTTACAGACTAAGAAGTTTGTTTTATCTTATATCAATTAATACAATATTTTTCTGAAAATAACGTTTAAATATTTATTTACATGATATACTCATATTTGAAATGCTACAAGAGTTGTATAATCACCTGATCAGAGACGGAAATCGGGGCGAGACGGCGATTAAAAAAAGATTCCCCGTTCCTGTCTCTGGGCCTTATGTGAAGTGATTGTAAACAAAATTGTGCTTCAAAACTTTTCATAAAAGTATTATACAAAATTATTATGCTGACGGCAAACTTGACATTGATATAGAGAAGTAGTCTAACATTTTGACTAATTAAGTAAAAAAATCTTTAATACACTTAGCTTAGAATTGAAATTGCAGTTGATCTTTGTCATGTGTTATACTATGCTTGGATATGCTATAATTGACATAAGAATTCGAATGAATTTAGAATAAATTATTGCTTTGAAATAATCAAAGTGCTTAACATATAATAAAATTTTGTATATAAGGTATATTCGTTTCATTCTTCAGAAATATCGTGATCGGTACAATTCGATTGAAGCTCAATTTTATGATTATTCAAGCGTCTTTACAAAAACTGGTAACGTTTGCTAGACTTCTCATTCTTCCTGTCTCAAATAAATTTTATGTAGATCACATCTATAGTTCATCTATATTTAACACAATGCATTAATTCACAAAACAATCATCTTCAATCATTGCCACAATCAAATTCTTTTTTGTTTCAATTTAAATATTATTATAAAATGGTATCAGATTTCTCTTTTAAAATAAACATTTTCAACTAGATTTTATTATGCACAATAAGCGTAAATGTAAATTTATTTGAAGAAAAAAAAAGCATGTTTCTTTTTATTTCTTGTTACAGGCGAATGAAAATAATAACGTAAACTAGAAGTAAAAGTTATTGAATAAAAAAGTTTTCTTGCTAAGTGAAAGGTTGAAATAAAAAAAGAATATCAAGCTATATAAAAATAATTAATCCATGTCCATAATCATTTGAAGGATTATTCAAGTTTAGTTTCTATAATCCTTGTTCGCAATATATTTGATAAGATCAATAACACGATTTGAATAACCATATTCATTGTTACACCTAAAAAGAAAATTATTAAACTTAATAAAGAAAAATATTATTTAAGAAAAAACATACTATGAAACAAGTTTGACAAAATTATCATTGAGCGAAATACCATATTTAGCATTAAAAATTGATGAATATGTATCACTAATGAAATCTGTTGAAGCAACTTCATCATCAGTATAGTTCAAAATACCTTTTAATTTATCATTAGTAGCTTCTTTCATTATAGAAAAAATTTTTCATATTTATCCTAAATAATAAATTTAATTCAATAAATCCAATAAAAAATAACAACATGACTTACGTCTTTGTTTAATAGAGCAGTAAGATGTCAACAACTGAAACATTTGGTGTTAGAACACCGAAAGTCATACAAGTTAATTGTTTCCATTTAAATTCGGAATAACTTTTCCGATCTAATAAAATACAAATCAATTTTCTTATTTATTAAAAATAAAATAAGTAAACATACAACTTTATCAGCATCAGTTGATGATGGAATAATATTTTGTGCAGCTCCACGTCCACCTGACCAATCCTATCAAAAATAAAATAGAAATAAAAAGATTTTTTTTTCTTATTTAATTAAATACTTTATTTGATGATCCATCAATAGTTTTTTGTATTGGAGTGTACGAAGGTGCAGTTGTCATTAAAGCTTCAATAATACCAAATTTTTCATGAATAATTTTAGCAAATGATACTAAACAATTTGTTGTACATGATGCATTTGAAATTTTAATTTTTCCATTGCTTTTGTTTGAAGGTACCATTTAATTTCACATCGTTTTATTGTATATATATATAGGGTGTGGGTGTGAATGAACGGAAGATTCACATCCACACCCACATCCACCAATATGACGCTCGTATATAGTCTTATCTAAAGACTCATTATATAGTATCATTGTTTGCACCTCTTGCTCAAACTTCAGCTATCGGTGCCAATGGGCTGTGCATTAATAGATGTCGAGCTAAAAGATCTACACCAACATCGATCAATATAACAGAACGTACAACAGATGAACAAATTTTTATTAGTGCTATGGTAGCTACTGTTTGTGATACATTTGTTAATCAAGCAACAAATATAATATCTCGACCATCAACACTTGGTTTTATCAATGCTGTACGACAAGCATGCATTACCCATGTGGCTGTCACTGGTGTTACAGAAGTATAAATCTTCCTATTGAAATAAATTAATAATTCTAGTTTTCCTTTCGGTCTGTAGTTTGCTAAGGAAGGTATTGAAAATTTAATCACCAATATACTTGCTCAAGATAGATCGATGGATGTAGAGCATATCAATCAATTGGTTACAAATATAACAACAATTACCTTGCAAGCATCACATGATGCTGATATTCTGGTAGAAAAATTTGTCACTTCTGCCACTTGGCCATGTCAACCGCATGTACCTGTGTGTATTATACCATCTCTTATTCAGCATCAAATGGTAGCAGAAACTGGCAAATAAATACAATTTTTACTATTGAAAAACTATTTTGATACAATAATGATTTAAAATCTTTTGTTTTTTATATTGAATGAAACATTTTTCATCGCGACAAAGAAATAAATATTTCCATGTGTTCCAATAGATTTTTCTTCAATTTTTATGAAATAAATTTGTAAACGAAACGGTATCAAATTTTAAACAACTTGACTTGATATAAAAAAACGATGTAGAGTGTGAGTTGTACGGGTTTAAGTGTAACTGCTGGTGTTGCTGCGAGCGTCACCGACTGATTAGTATCAGCACACTCACATTCACCCACAATGTGTCTTAAGAAAAATTCTTCGGGTTCTATCATATCCTCAAGGAAAAAATCAGAACAAGGGTAAAAGACACTGCTTCTTTTGATCGACTGTTGTCTTCCATTTGATTCTATTAGAATATTTCGTTCTGATACTGAATTACTATTTTGATGTTTCGTTTCGAGTGATGAAAACTGTAACCTATTCCATGACGCTCTACTCTGGAACTATATTCATACATTTTTAATATCATATATCAGCGAAATGAGTATTATAACATAGGCCGTGCTTTTCAACAGTAAGGAGCTCGATTTATTTTGATTCAAAGAGATATATTACTTCTACATACTGCTGTTACATTTATTTAAAGCGAGCTTTTTATTCATAAAATTTTTCGTTGAATCAACTGCTGAATGAACAGAACCGTAAGTTCTTTAACAACTTGCACCAAATAATTGTATTACCAATCATGATATGCTCCTTTATTCTTTCTATTCAAAAAGAAAAGGCGTCAAATCAAGGATGTATGTGTGGGTTTGGGTGCCGGTTTGTTTCTTTCTTGATCCAAAACCGCACATTGACACCGACACGGTAAAATGTCAAGTGAGAGAATGCGGATGTAAGTGTGAGTGTGCCTATGAGAACCGGTGCTTTATTCTCACCTCATTCATACCTATATCTACAACCCGCACTTCGATTCGACTTTTAATGAGAAAGCCACCCAAAGAATGTTAAACAAAAGTGCTTTCATTTGTAGTCAGTCTTGACAGATCTCAAACAAATTCGACTCTTTTCTCTTTCAAGTTCGACAAATGTACCAATCTTCATTTTAAAATAAAAGGCGGGTGGTTATTTTTTCGAATAACTCTTCAACGAAAGAACTATTGACCTGCGATTTTCCCCATTAGAGAGCGGCTAGCATTCCGCATCCTTCTATGTACCAGCTAACAAAATTAGCTCATAAATCTGATGAGCAGTCAGTGAAACTCAAAGAGTGTAGATATGGGTATGGGTTTCGATATATCTTCTTTACAGAAACATTTCACACCCACACCTTCATCTTTCATGCTGATTGTATATTCATTTCGAAAAAAAAGGAGTCATGAATATTTTCTGAGTAACTTTTGATAGAAAATTTGTAGAGACATCTGGTGTTCACCGTACGAAAGAAGAAAAAATCAGGCATCAAAATCGTATGTGATAATTTGTTTTAGCAAAATTTTGAGAGCTTCTATTGATTTTTTTGAAAAAAGATGTCACTTTGAAATTGCTTGACAAAAGAAAAT